AACGTTTACTTACAGCAGGGCCATCTGAAAACGTTGAATAATGAAAAAGCAGCAATGCGATTTATACAACTATTAATTACCTTCCGTCAGACAAGGCCCTGCTATAAATACTGCGGCACTTTAGATAAAAGTTTCATGCAGCTATTTAGGGCCCTTGAAATATAAATGATTTCGTTAAAATTTTATAATAAATCAGTACATGTATATATGCAACAAGACGCAGATACTACCCCTTCTCTTTTCCCCAAAGCCTCGCTAATGTTCCATTTGTGTGATTTGCCGGAGACTGTTGGCATGTTGCAGGATTTTTTCCCCCTATTCCGGGCATTTGCTTCCCTGTCCTGTCTCCGCTTGGGAATGTCAGAGAACGCCTCTCAAGCCTCTCATCGCCGAAAAGGATGACAAAGTGTTATCGCCAAGTCGGTGTGACCTGTCCATGGTCCTGAACTAAGTTTTTAAGAGCGGATACCCGTGGTGTGGACGCTTCCCTCTCACAGTGGCAGAAGCTATCCAGTCCTGCACACTGAGGGTGTGTGGCGAGGGAGGCTGTCTCATTGCTACTGTAGCTTTAAACTTGAGACCCATTTTGTAAATATAACTGTTTTTCGCCGCCAGGCACCAGCCTCGGATTACCATCCAGCAAGTGGACCAGCTATTCTGAGGACCACAAGTTTGATCAGTGGTTACTTTAACTATAGTATTATTCATACTCTAATTGAAAATTCTAGGCTTAGATGAACTCATTATTAAGCCGTTTTGCAGACTGAAGAATAAATGAGTTGAACTGTAATTGGACTTCTCCGGTATTCAGGGCAATTTATAAATGAAGATATCTTGTGTGTCGTCTAATTTCTATATCTGAGATAAGATTTGAATAATTCCCTCCATATCTTGTAATTTTGTGTTTTATCCTACAGTTTTTTTTTCTATTTTTGTAATCTTAACCCGTTGTCAACTGAAATGACCGCGTTGTTTTGGATTATGTCATCGTAAAATACCATTTCTAATCTCCGTTTTCTGTGAATCTCAAAAGCTATCATGGGGAAAGGGAAACATTGACCTCCCCACCAATGTCATCATTACTTACCAATAATGGTCACTTTGGCGTGGCTACTAACGAGGTGGGGGTTACACTCAGCAGGAACTTAAAAGAAGAACGTCAGAACAATTTCCCATTGGCAGCCCTGCCGTCTATCCTTTACACTCTAAGCCTGGGATTTTGTTTTAGAAAGAACTAAACTCCATAGAATGTGCAAGGCCAATATATATCACCTGTCATGGAGTCACAGATATATACAGCACGGAAACAGACCCCTCGGTCTAACTCGTCCATGCTGACCAGATATCCTAAATTAATCTAGCCCCATTTGCCAGTATTTGGCCCATATTCCTCTAAACCCTTTCTATTCATGTACCCATTCAGATGTCTTTTAAATGTTGTAACTGCACCAGTCTCCAACACTTCATCTGGCAGCTCATTGCTGAATTGCTGTGGCAAAGGTGGTAAAGAACGACTTTCTGGATTACGATGATCTGTTAGGCCATTTCAGGGGGCAGGGTGAGAGGCAAGCATGCTGCCAATGGCATGGACTCTCACTGGGGCGAGAGCAGGTAAGGACGGTCGATTTCCAGCTTCAAAAACCATCAACAAACCAGATGGGTTTTAATCGCAGCCTGGTCGTTTCACGGTCATTATTCCCGATACTCCCCCTTCCCAAACTTTCTATCTTTCCGTCTTTTATCATTTACGACACTTATTAAAACCATTCTCTATGACTCTATGTTCCAGTGTCTCCTTCTCAGTGTTTAACTAATGTGCACTGGGGGCATTTTATTGATGCTACATAGATGCAAGCTTTTCTTCACTCGATAGTTAGTGGAGTGTGAATTTCATCACAGTAGGATCCTCATGAACTACGAAAGGGTGCGTGGAACTGGAATTCAAATAGATTGGACTGCAAAATTGCTCATATGGCTATCACCTGAATCAAAACTCCACTAGCTTCGTGAACTGCAACCAAATTTTCGCCAATGATTACCTTCAATATGGAGGAGCGAAATGAAGGAAAGCGGATGATTTACCTGTAGATGTGGAGCCATTAGTCGTAAATTTATCGTAATTCATGCAACAGGGTGCGAAAAACCGGAGATGTTGGGCAATAATCTGAGATGAAATGTGCTCAGGACCTTTCACCCCATAAGAAAATCTATGATTTCGGTTAGTTGAGACGTAGTCAACTCAACAGTTAGAGGTAAAGGTTGATTCGGGCCGATGATCAGATGGACAAAGTGCGCCAAGGAATGATGAAAAAAAAAACCCACACAACTACTTTCCCCAAAGAAAAGTATGGATTTTCTTAACAATTGTTGACATGTTGCTACAGTAACATTGCGAATGCATCAGTAAATGAAACAAGGACTTAATTCTTTCTGGACTGCGTATTACTCAGCGGGCGAAAAATGCCTTCTTCAAAGCATTAAATGCTAACAAACGTGAGGGTGGATCTTTTCTCAGAGACAATTCTACATTAACAATAATACCTTCACTCTAGCTTTAAATCAATGTTTAGTTCGTCTTTCGTGATAACGTGTTTTAAAAGTGCAGACCTATAATTAGTAATATATGCTAGAATCTATTATGAAATAATTTTATGTTTCGCCGTGCATACACTGCTATTAAATAATATTTTAACATCTAAATTATTTATTTGTACTTAATTTTTGCATTCATAATTCAAACCCTAATTAAGTTATTGGTTGAGGCCCGGATCATGTATGTAACAGTGGGAGATGGATCTTTGCTAACAGCCGTTGTCAATGTGGAGAAATTGTTTATCTGGCACATTAAGAAGTCCAGGTTCTTTCGCAAGTGGGTTGGACCGATCTCCTACGCTAAGCTTTGATCAGAAGCAAAAGTGGCTGGAATTAAAAGGAAGCTAGTCTTACTTTGCGTGTTTGGCTGATAAATGAAACACAAGTGCTACTCAAATTAGAGCCAATAATTCACGGGTGAACTTCGCTACTTCGTATTTAATCACCTTGATCCAATATATAAAACAAAAATTAAACATTAAGATACGCCGTCCAACGCTGCACGAGCGGCTGTCCCTGAAGCATGGAAATACCGACCTCTTCTACTATCTCTCTCCAAATGATGCCGTTTTTATAAGTCGGCTCGAAGTTACCTTCAATTCTGGGCCGTATTCTAATTTTGCCCTAAGCTGTTAAAAACGGGGAAATAGTTATTCTTGCAGTAACTTTCGCCGAGCCTTAAAGATGAAGGAATCTGACAAAGAACTGACAACTTTTAATGTAATTGGAGCTTCTAAAATGTTCCAACAAATTATTACTCACTCGATCTATGTTGAAGCTACCCGAACACTGGTTTAAAACAACGAACCATTTTGTTGGACAAGTGGGGGATTCATGCAGTTGTCTCTTGTCGTCTGCTATTTAAATTGACTTCTCCTTAATTATGAATGATAGGGTAAACTAAATCAATACTAAATGTACTGGTTAAAAATTAAAAGAAACTCTTTACAAGTGTACTTCTTATTTAAAGCGTTGATTTATGAATTTAATACTGTACAAGAGAACTTCGGTGCAGAAAAACCTTTATCAGATCCTGATTGTATTTCGGTGTATTTATTCCTACCTTCTCAAAGTTTCTTTTCCCTAAAGTGTGGGATTACAAGACTAGGGGGCATATTTTAAGGTGAGAGAAGAAAGATTTAAAAAAGACATGGGCGTCAACTTTTTTACGCAAGAGGGTGGTGGTATGGGGAATGAGCTTCGTGAGGAAGTGGTGGATACGAGTACAGTTACAACGTTTAAAAGACATTTAGATAAGTGCATGAATAAGAAATGTTTGCAGGGACATGGGCCAAACGCAGGCAGGTGGGGCTAGTTTACTTTGGGATTACGGTTGGCATGGACTGGTTGGACCGAAGGGTCTGTTCCAGGCTGCATGGCTCTATTACAATCCAACAAATGTGTTATGGTCAGATACATTTATTTTACCTCCAGGTTGCTGAAAACAAATCAGTTGCCTCCACCTTGGCCAATCTGTGCTCAGTCCCCATACAAACGGGATAGGATTCGTGTACTCAGCAGCACTTAGACAGTCCCTGGGATATGATCATTGACACCAATTCTCAATTTGACTGTCAGTATATACATGCAGGCTTGTTCCCTGCAAATATGGTTGCTAGAAACTTCTGATCTACTCCAATCCGTTCAAATACCATATATTTGCCTATTTAGACGGGTAATAAATGTCCAATAATATTCAGATGCGTAGATGATAATAGGACTCATTTGTCGTTGGAGATTTGCCTTCCGAGCCTTTCTGTTGATAACTCTATTGCGGAGTGTGTATTCGACAGACAGCAAGTAAAATAGCTTAAATAAGAACAATTGCATTAAAAAAAACCGAAAGAACTGCGGATGCTGTAAATCAGGAACAAAAACAGAGGCTGCTAGAAAAGCTCAGCAGGTCTGGCGGCATCTGTAGAGAAAAAACTCAGAGTTAACTTTTCGGGTCCGATGGCTCTTCCTCAGAACTGATTGCTTATATCCTACTTTGTACCTTCAGTTTGCTGATTGTATCTGCTTTTGCTCCGCTGTTCACTCAATGAAGAGTAATTTTAAAAAAAAATGTTGTAGCACAGCTTGTTAATGGAGGAAATGATCAGGGAATGACCATATATTGAAGAGGAGGGGGGAATTGGTGGGGAGGATCACATTGGAGTCTTGTGAATGAAGGCGTCTCTGTGCAGGTGAATGCGGGGCAGGTTTGACTCCTCGGGCTAATTTCCTGCTTTTGTTTTATATTTAGTTGGGTTGTAGCACGCCTGCGCGCTGCTGACATTTGTTGCTGGTAAGATGAGTAAGGAGCAGGTGGGGGAAGAGGCTGTGCCATTGAAAGAGCTGACAGGAGCCAGGCACCAGGCAGCGACGTCTATGTCAGGCTTCACCTTGCTGCTAAGGTGTGCGGAATCATGATGACCATGAACAGCAAGCAACACTTAGGCATGTCCCCCATCCTCCAGGAGGCCAAGTACCCAAGCCTGCACCCCAGCTCCGAGGCCGTGAGGAGAGTTTGCCTCCCAACCCCGCCGGTATGTAAATGCAGAATTGCTGCTTTGAGGCACAGTTGTTTGACAGGCGCAGCTTAATGTTTTTTTCATGTCACCAGAAACAATCGCGTATCCCCTCTTCACTCTTGACTGCATATTAATTTTTATGATCTGGGCTTTGAGGAAAGATGTTACTCTCTGTCTCTCTCGCTCTATCTTTGTGAATGTTTTTTAATAGTGAGTTGACAGAATTCCCCACTGACTGCAACGCGTGTGTGTGTGTGTTCTGTTGCTTGCAGCTCCAGGGCAATATATTCGGCGGCTTTGATGAAAGCCTGTTAGCCCGCGCTGAAGCTCTGGCAGCTGTAGATGTGATCCCCCACAGTAAGAGTCAGCCACACTTCAAGCCGGACCTCAGTTATCACACCATGAGCAGCGTGCCGTGCAGTTCTACCTCCTCAGCGCTGACCATCTCGCCTCCGCCCAGCCTGACCTCCCACCACGTCCACCCGGCTCACCAGATCCTAGAGGCCGACTTGCTGGATATCTCGCCCAGCCTGACCGGGCTGGGAGGCGCTGACCCATCGGCGGTCCTCTCCACGCCTGGGCACCCTCCTCACCTCAACGGGATGGGACACCTACACCCGGCTATGCCTATGGCTCACCCACACTCGTTCTCCAGCCACGCTGGCATGCCTTGCCTCAATGAGGCAGACGCTGACCCTAGGGAGCTAGAAGCTTTTGCGGAGAGGTTCAAACAGAGGAGGATTAAGCTGGGGGTGACCCAAGCCGATGTAGGAGCCGCCCTGGCTAACCTGAAGATCCCGGGAGTGGGCTCCCTGAGCCAGAGCACCATCTGCAGGTTCGAGTCTCTCACCCTGTCCCACAACAACATGATCGCCCTGAAGCCGGTGCTGCACACCTGGCTCGAGGAGGCCGAGAGCATTTACCGGGAGAAAGCCAGCAAGCCCGAAGTGTTCAGCGCTGGAGACAGGAAACGCAAACGGACCTCGATCGCTGCGCCCGAGAAGCGCTCGCTGGAAGCTTACTTCGCCATCCAGCCGCGGCCGTCTTCCGAAAAAATCGCCGCGATCGCCGAGAAACTGGACCTGAAGAAAAACGTGGTCAGAGTCTGGTTTTGCAATCAGAGACAGAAACAGAAGCGGATGAAATATTCCGCCAATCACTGACGGACGGTAAACAGCAAAACGAGAGAGGCGGGGAGGAAAAAAAAAACAGATTAAGAATCAAAACAGGGATTTTCAGTGTCTTCGCTAAGGACTTAAGCCATGGACTTTTACACCCAAGTAACTTCCTCTGCTCGTGTCACCGCAGACTCAGAGAAAGGTCCGGTATTTGATTTCTAACAGAGGAAGGATGATTCTTATGTCTAACCGGGCTCAGCCCGTCCATTTGAGAATTTGCTCTTGCACATAGTGATTGACACTTTTCTTGACTGCTGTCTCTAACAACCCCCCCAGCAATCACACCC